ACCGGGCCAGACGAAACGTGCCTTAACGATTCGGCTGGTGGCTGCGCGACCGCCATGAGCCTGCCCGTGGAGCGTTATGAAAACTGCGCGTCGGTGGCACTGCGGGACGAGCAGTCTCGTCCGGTTATACGCTACGTCGAAGTAGACGGGCCCGTTCGCTGTCTGGCGCGCTTCGAGGTCTAGTGAGGTTTTTGTGACGCCGGAAATGATGTCCCTGAGTTCTCTGTCGTTCGCTTGGTCGACTGCCCACTGATTGAGGTCCGGCAGGCCGTCTTCGAGAGTTGCCAACTCGAGGCGTGAAAGGGCGTCGGGCACCACGTTACTCTCGCCGCTGACGTGTTCGATGTCGTGGATAAACTGAGACAGGAAAGCGACATGTCGCGCCTGACGATCGATAAGTTTTTCCGCTTTTTGTGTGAACATAAACAGTAACGGTCGGTGATCAGTCCTGAGAGTAGTGAACCTGCCCTCGATCGAGTGAACAAAATGTCGAACCGCTAGGTAGGCAGCGAGGAGTTCGCGATCGTAGGTGCTGTACCGTGTCTGCGCGCCGGTGAGTTTGCGCGAGAAAAACCCGAGTGGTTGCCAGTCGTCTCCGGAGCGCTGTTCGAGTGTTGCACCCACAGCGATGTTCGACGCGTCGGTACACAGGCGCAACGGTGCTTCGTGATGTGGATGCACGAGTCGTGCTGTAGCGGCGAGAGCTTCCTTGCAAGCTTGAAACGCTTCGCGCGCTGTGTTTGTCCACGAGAGTGGGCCGTCGCGTTTCGGAACCAGAGCGGTGATGTCATAGAGCGGTGCTTGAAGTCTAGCCGCGTTCGGGATAAACCGATGGTAAAAATTCAGCGACCCGAGAAAACGCTGCAGCTCCTTTTTGGTGTTCGGCTGCGGCCACTGACGGATGGCACTGACGCTATCCGGGTTCGGGCGTAAGCCCTGCGCATCGACGACGTGTCCGAGAAACGTGAGCGTACGGGCGGCGAAAACGCACTTGGCCGGATTAATTGCAATGCCGAACTTCTCGAACCGACCGAGGACGGTGCGAACGTGTTCGACGTGCTGCTCCGCACTTGCAGACGCGATGAGGACGTCGTCGACATAGGCGAAAACGTAATCGAGCCCAGCGAGAATTGAATTCACTAACCTCTGAAACGTTTGTGCGGCGTTGCGGAGTCCAAAACACATTACCGGAAACTCGAAGAGGCCAAACGGTGTTGTGACGGCGGTCTTGTGGACGTCGCTGGCAGCGATGGGCACCTGGCGGTAGGCACGGACCAGGTCGAGTTTGGAAAAAACTGTTTTGTCTGCCAAGTTCGCCGTGAAATCGTGGAGGTACGGCAGCGGGTACCGGTCCGGAACGGTGACGTGGTTAAGCCGACGGTAGTCTCCACAGGGTCGGTATGATCCGTCTTTCTTTGGAACCAAGAGAAGCGGGCTCGCCCAGGAACTGGCCGAAGGGCGGCAGATACCCTGCTTCTGCATGAGTTCAAAATCGCGTCGTGCGATGATGAGTCTGTCCGGCGGTAATCGTCGCGGGTGGGCGAAAAGCGGCGGACCTGTCGTTTGGAGCACGTGCTCGACTCCGTGAAGAAATGTTTCCGGGACGGGCGACTCGCGTGTTACACTCGGAAACTCTCGGAGTAATTCGTTCCAATCGTGGGTGCGCGTGACGGTGAACAGCGGGGCGCTCGTGGAAACCGCGGAAGTCACTGCACAGGTGACTGTTCGTTTGTCGGTCGGGTCGACAAGGCGATGTCGCCGCACGTCGACAAGGAGGCCGAAATAATGAAGAAAATCGGCCCCGATGATGGCGCGCGAAACGTCGGCCATCTCGAACGTCCAGGTGAACGTTCGTGAGAGCCCGAGGTCGAGGTTGAGCGTCTTGGGCCCAAAGGTTTTTATATGCGTTCCGTTGGCAGCTGTGAGGCGGACGTCGGATGGTTGTCGTGAGCTGCGGTCGTGGGGCATGACCGAAATCTCGGCGCCCGTGTCAATAAGAAACAACCTGCCGGAGCGGAGGTCGTTCACGTGTACCCGCGTATTTTTACTCACGGCATGCAGGGCGGGAGTCCTGTCCGTGACGCCTAGTTTTCCGCCGGCGCGGAGGTAACGTGGTCCTGCGCCTTTGGCTTGAAATTACACGGCGGGCGGCAATTGCGAGCGCCGTTGCCGTATTTCTCGTGGTAGTAGCACGCCTGTGTTGGTTGCTGTGCGGCCCACTGCGTCGATGAGTGTTGTCGCTGCCGCGGGGCGTCCTTCGACGAGTTGACAATCTTTGTCAGCGACTGGACTTGCTGAGACAGCGCTGACACCGCACTAGCCAAATCTGCCATTTGGTCCTTGGAGAGGGCGTCGACGGACTGGGGGCTCGACGCTTCCATTACTCTGTCCGCGCGGGAAGCTAAGGAGTCCAGAGGGGCGTCGAGGCTGGCGATGATGGCAATGACGTTGGACGGCAGCTTCTGTAACCAGAACTCTTTCAGGGCTTCCTCGCCGATACCGGCGGGCATGACGCTGCGCATGTCGCGGAGCAGTTGTGACGGCCTACGGTCGCCCATGCCCCCGGGTTTGACGATCTCTCGGAAGCGAACGGACTTGGGTAGACTGTAAGCGTCGATCAAACGTGTGCGAATTGCATCATACGACGCGGTTGGCCCGAGGAGATCACCGATGGTGCGGACGCCATCTTCGTCCAAAGTCGTTTTAAATTTTGTCAATGTTTTTATCCAATTTCAAATAAAAAAAATTATTTTTTATATTTAGACGCCAAGAAGTTCTCCCGGAAGCAATATAGAAGATCTTACAGAGGTAATTCATCATGTAAAACAAAAGTACCCCAAAACTGTTTTAGGTGGTTTAGGAATATCGATGGGTTGGTAAGTAACTGTAACTGTTATAATTGTTTATATATTAAACATTTTTGTTTTATAGTTCGTTGTTAGGAATTTATATGTGTTCTAACGATCAATATACTCATAAACATTTGAGTGCTGCAATGTTTGTATCAGTGGCTTGGAATATAAAGTCTTCCGCATCATCTATGTCAACAAGTACCATGAACCGTATGATTGATTCGTATTTTACACGTTGCCTAATACGATTTGTGAAGAAGTTTGTCATTTTATATTCCGCCATTATAGTATTTTTTTTTATGTATAACTTATACATCACATTTAATATTTCCATTTAGGAATAGGAAAGTCCTTGACTGTCCAAACCAAAAGTGGAATTACAATGAAGTAGTTAAGGTATGAAGACGTGTAACGGTTTTGTCTAAAATATAATTTACTCAATTTTTTTTTGATTTCAGAGTAAAACTGGAGACGAGTTTTGTAGAAATTTCACAATTAAAATGTTCGACTACGATACGATTGATGATTACTATGATTCTTTTTCAATACATGACAAAATAAACCGCTTTCATATACCATGTTTGTGTTTGAGTGCTGCTGATGACCCTATATCTTTAAAACCCGGTAAAATTATGTTGAAATATTGTTACCATGATAGAACTACATCTTGCATACATTATTATTTTTTATTTTTATTATAAAACTTAAGTTAGGAAATGTTTTTCATTTACCTAGTTACAATGTGATCTTAATTTTTCCCATTTTTTTTTTGTTTTTACCCCCCTTTTGAAACTTAAATGTTAACGTATATATTTTTTATCTTTTTAAGTTGAGAATATTGTATTACAAATGTTGACTTGTCGATAACGAGTTTCGGTTATTTATTTTTAAAGTTATTAAAGTTTCATGTTTAGAGCAGGAGGAAAGGTGGGGTGTAGTATTATTTTTATCTGCGCGCATTTCCCAACCGCACTTCCTCTCCCATCATAACTTTAAAACTCTTATAAATTGAAAAATGATCATCCGAAACTGGTTACCGACCAGTCAACATTTTTAGTAAATTATGCTCAATTTAAAAAGATAATAAAATATATATATGTTACCATTTAAGTTTCAAAAGTTGCTATCAAAACAACTAAGTCGGAAGGGGGTAAAAAAAAATACTGAAAAATTGAGACCACATTGTATAATAACAATATGAAAAAAAATTCTATTTTATTTCTTATTAAACACTATGAAATATTGAGTGGTTCATGTTAAAAAAAATCACCCTTTATATCTGTTTAGTTTATGCACTAAATAAATACATATTTTTAAACTCCGGGCCGATTTTTTAAATGTAGAATTTTCGGAGAACTTAAATTGTACACAATAAGTACTTTCAGACATTAATTATTGTCAATTTTAATTTTAGATGTACCTATAGAACTAGCTTCCACTACAGAAAATGTTGCTATTTTGTTAACTGCAAGAGGAGGACATATTGGATTTTTCGACAATTTTAGACCGTTTTCAGGAAAGGATGAATTCATGATACGACTTATATTGCAATATTTCGAAGCAATGTTTGAAAACGATAACTACAAAAAATTTACAAATTGACTGATCGAACTTGACTCATATTTTTGTTGGTCATACAGATTGAGTTAAGAACAAATATATGATAATATTTTATACATAATTATAATTTATGAATATGATTAGATAAAAAGTTGAAGATCTGGGGTACAACTCATTTATTTGAAAAATGTATTTAAGTGCTGGTTTGAAGTGTACTGGTTTAGACTGTACTATCTTTTTTTTTTTTGTGTATTTTTATTATTATTGTATTATTTATTAGTGCACGACAGGTTTTTTTTTTATTTTGTTTTATGGGCTGAGAGCTAGACTTTAACACTAAATCACTAAATTCAGAAATTTTTAATTTTTTAAACGGTCTGAAACCTAACAGTCTAATTTTGTAAAAATTATTAAGTATCTGTTTAAATCCACAAATAAGCTACAAACTTGATTTCAATGGTTAATAAATCTGTTTATTGTAAAATACATTAAAGTAAATGACAACTCGTAATTAGAGCATTATGAAATTTGTGTTTAACCGAAATACAAATAATGTTATATAATTTTAGTATAATTATTTCATTGATTTCTGATCCAAATTATTATAACTGTGTCTTAAGTAATTGTACTCTATTGTTTATGTCATTGAAGCTTACTTGCCACCATGTGCCCTCAATTTCTCTGTATACTTTGGCTGATGATCCATCCCATACGGTACAAGTACCATTAGAGCCAGTCTTAAAATCTTTTTTATTAGATGATGGGAATTTTGTACACATTAACAATGCTATCAAACGACACATGCCCAATAAAGAGAGACCATGTTCATATCTATCTAAAAAAGTAAAAACATTTTTTGTTTTTAATTTACTAAAATATTCTTACTAGTTAATATATTTCCTTATGGCGCTAGATACCGTGCCTTACCTTGTAATGTAAATAGTGTCAATATTATAGAGTCATGATATTTGTCTTGTGATAAAGTATGTGTTTGTAGTAACTAGATATCGTTTTACCGACGACACATTTATATTGAAAACATCCCTAATTTGGTTTATGTTAAAAATATAAGTTAGCTATATCCTTGTTATATTGTAGGGAAATATTCCTATAAATCACCTTGTAAAAGAATATATATATATGTAAATAATATATTTGTAATGCGTGAGTTCTGTAATTATAAAACAGTTAAAATGATTTGAGTTACAGTGATATGAATATTTTTAAGTCTTTATCTCATTTTAAGAAATATTTCTATATATTATTAATTTTTACCGTTAGGTTAGGCTAAGTTAATTTATAACACATACCTGATGCACGGGTGATTCTAGTTGTCAAATTTTCTGAAGTATGAATCCTCCTTTCTTCAATAAGATAGGTCATATTCTCAAAATCTACAAAATTATTAAATAAATAAATAAATTGTTGGTCCCGATTGGTACATAATTGTAATGTATTTCTAAGAACTGTGATAGTATTCATTTTTTTGTACTATCCACTATTAGTATTAAAGCACGAAGAAAATAATTCTTTTTCATTTGAATTACACTACAAGTGGTCTGATCGAATAAATTCGTATTTTAATAATAAAAAAGTATCCAACAAAAGCGTGGATTTTGACAGTTATTTAATGCTATGGGCTTTCTGTTATAATACCAAACAACAAAAACCTGCATTGTAGTAACAAGTGTTTGTTTATCAACATGTTGTGTGACGTTCGTAGTTACGATTATTTTTTAATTAGAGATAAAATTGATTTAGGTCGTTAAAAATAGTATGGTAAATTGAAATGTCACACTCAAATTCCCCAAATAAAAGTTTACTTTATTGTAATTATTGTGTCAAAACAAGAAGCAAATGAACTCAGAAAGATACAGAATGAATCATCGATATTTATGTCTATACAATATAAAGCATTATTTATTATTCTTGAAACGGATATATTTTTAAAAATCTCATATTTGAATGGGTCTATATAATATATGAATTTATTAATTGTTTGAAAACTATATAACTCTATAAAAATGCATACATATAGCACGTCTGATTATTTTTTTTATGGCTGTTCCAGTAAGACGTCTTCTCTCCTCTGCAAGTTGTTTTAAATAACGTCTATCTAAGACTGCAAAATCTGCGAAAATTATTAATTGACCATTTTCAAACCAAATTTAGAAGTATTTTTTTAATATTTTATCAATTACTATGTATAGGCTTTACAATAGTTTTATCGAAATTCAACGTGTATACTGTCTACAGATTTACTAATCTGTTTTTAATGTATTATTGTTATTATATTATCTGTCACCATTTATTAGTGGTCAGTTTCTATTGAATATTTTGAATTTTTTACACTTTGTCATATTTGTAGTATCTTGTTTTGTTTTAGTGTTAGTTTATATCTACAATAATGTGTGTTGTTATTTTTAAACCAGTATAGTCTAAACCAAGCATTGTAGAAATTAGCACAGTATGAAATTATTAAAGTGAGGTGCAGTGTCTAGTGTGAACATATTAGAATCAAGGCGTTTATTTGAAATAGATTTTATCCGATTAAGTCAGTACAGTGAGGTCGGGGCATAATGGGGCCGCAATAATAAAACCGCTTTCAAATAAACACTTTGCTGCTAATATGTGGACACTGCCTGCGCCTTACATTTATACTATTTTACTATGCTTGGTTTAAACTGTACTAACCACAGATTTGCATCTAAGCGTTTATTTAAAAGCAATTACACGACTTTCAGATTTAATAATTATGTAAACCTATGTCCCCACTATAACCCGACCCCCTACTGTACTTTGTTTTTTTTTAAGTTCGTCCATAGTACACCAGATTGTTTATCACTTTCGAAACTACTAAAATCAGTACAGTAAGAAATAGGTGATTAAGATTTTTTTTTTAATATTGCGAAGTGGTAAATTGTATTGTACATTAGCTGTTGTTAATAGCTGATATTTAGTCATACCCTCTTTACCAAGCTAAAACATTTATTTACTGAAATTGTCGCGTTAAAAAAGTTATTTATAAAGCAAATGCCATCTTTATAATAAGCCAGGTATATTTACTACTATTCAATAAATTTGTATGTACTATATTTTCTTGTAGTGGCATTAGCCACAGGAATCACTGTAACAAAAATCATAAAATATTTATAATAATGAAAACTTGTTTTATACTTTATCCTTGAGAAACACTCTCAAATTAATTAATACAAAAAATAGCACAGTTTTGAGTGTTCTTGAAATATGACCTCTAATTATTTAAAACAAACATTGAAATAGACAAAAAGAACGACTTTCTTCGAGTATATGTTAAACGGTTGCCCATCTACTTAAATTTTTTTCCATTTAAACAGATGCTAAAAATAATTGATCGACCATGTTATTAGTCAGCTTAGGTGAGGTTGCAATTTTAACCCCCCTACCCTCCTTTTGCAGTTGCTATCCACGTCTGCTAATCATCACTTCTTGTTCAGGGCATTAAATTCTATCTTTAACGGAGGAAACGAACGTTAACCGTATATTAGACAATAATGACACCATCTGGATTTCGGTGGTTTTTAAATTAGGAAGTCATTTGCTTGAAAAATATTAAAATTGATATTTACTTAGATCATGGCTTATTTCTGTTCCTATTTGTCTTTGATGGCCTATAGCATCTATAATTTCTAGAAAAAAGTTGTAATATACATATTATTATGATTGAAACCAATATGTGATTATTGATTATTTAAAATATATTTTAATTATGAATCTGTGTAAAGAATTTCAAATATAAATGTAGTTACCTCGTTCGCTGTTAAGTGGTGCAAAGTCTAAAATTAATACCAACAAATTGTATACTTAATGAATATCAAACAACTGTGTTGTAATATTCCCATAAAATTCTATAGTGAAGCTTACCCGGTACAGCGATCATATAATTCATTTGGTCTGAAATTGACATTATTATATAAAATAGATATTTATTAGATTAAAATTGAATAAGAGGACGATGGTCTAGGTAGTTAAATTTTAAAGAAAGCGCTCGATTAAATTATTGCTGAAGTAAAGCTAGCGAAGATGGTTTTTCAAAGATGTCCCAATTAGATTTAGGAGAAAAAAAAGATTTTTATCAATAATGAATATGAATAAAGATTAATTTTTGTTGTAATTTTTAAATTCAAATATTTTTTTCTACTGGCAAGTCTTTTTTTTTATTATAATATAATTATAACTACCAAGCGTAAAAAAATTTTCACAGGCCATTGATTTAATTACATATTCTAATCCATCTGGAATAAACAAAATAAGTTTCATAACAAAATTATAATAGATATATAAAAATCATCAAATAGAATTACACCATTCTTTAAGCGACGACCTTTTAACTTAATGCTACTCATCGCATGTTGGGTTAAATAATCATTGCCGTGGATCAAGTTTCATTATGTATATTTAAAAAAACTGCTTCGTTAAAAATAAGATTAAATGTTTTTATTTTCCTAACATAATAAATTATTTACTCAGTAGTTGGTACACTGGTACATTACATATACCTCGCGTTTTCTTAACAAGAACATTATGTAAACAATATTTTTTTTATTTATAAATTGTTTTTCAAGCAGGCAAACAAAACTGTTTTATATTAGTAATTTAGTTTTACATATTTTTTCCTAATAAACTATGTGTATGATTATACATAATATGATTATACTCGTATTAATTTTAAGTACAACTTACTTTCTACATTCTTACTTCTTACTAAATCATTGTGAATTCCTGAAGCTAGATGTATGAGTCTGTCTGTAATGCATTTTTTTTCTCAATATGTATAAAATCAGACAAATTTAAAATCTCAAAAATTTAGACAGAATGATAAAGAAATGTTACCGACTTGCAAGGGAAACCGCTCTTATATACTCCACTGTAAAGAAAAGTTAAATAATATTTTTACTACCTCGGTAAGTACGGAAATATTATAATTACTTAAATCAGCCGAAACATTTACGAAGACACATGTCAATGTTAAAAGGGTTAAATGTTTCATTTTATCTGCAAACAGTAATTAACATAAAATCGATTCATTTAGGCTATACACTGACATTCAAGGAATTGCAGACGTGGTAATGACCTTTGTTTTTAAGATTATGACTTGTTTTGTACAGGCTTATAATATGTGTGCAACAAGAAATAAGTCAATTTGATTATTGTGTTATGGCAGGTCTAGAAAATTAGAAAAACTTAATAAAACCATTTGAAAGCGTAAAATATCACAACTTTTTTAAGTTTGATAGTAATACTTGCTTAAACCATTGCAATGATAGTTAAATATGGTTTTCTTACGACGGAAACAATGACATCTTGGATAAATTGTGCAGAATTGTTTTTTCGAATTTTATAATGTTCTAATCGTGTTAGAGTTAAAATATAAACCGAAGACTGCGCCTGAAAGAGGAGCTAAAAAATATACATCATAATGTATAGTATATGTGTCAGTACACATATACTAAAACATATACACATATGCTGCAAAACAAGTGCAACAGTACAATGCTAAAAAAAAATCACATAGAAGCCAAATACATTAAAACATGGTATGTTGATTATACACCACTTGTGTTAGCCCAACAACATTAAGTAGTATAGAAAAATAGGTTGATGTTTATTTGTATGAGTATGTGCGGTGTGGTTGAATACGTTTATCATAAACAAGGCCACAAGAACAAAACAAAACTGAATTATTCGTTAAAAAAAAACAAAATATTGCCACTTAAAAACCAACTGCTTCTCAAAGTCGTTTTCAAAATGTAGCGTTACTGTTGGGAAAGATAATTTCGGTACCTACTACTTATGTTTAGCATGTATGTCAGTTGAGAATGCATTTTGGAGATTGGAAGGTCAATGGAGATACTTGCAATTGTGAATGTAATTTATAAAGTCAAAATTATAACAATTATTTCACACTAATTTTATAATTGTTTGTTTTTTCAATGTATAATCTACTTGTGGTCAAAGTAAAGCCATACGCAATAATAATAATAATAATAATACACAAGCAACTAAAGTGTTATTATGCAATACATTCAATTATTTGACAATAAGGACAATTAGTAAAATATGCAAAAAATATTTAAATATAAAATAAAAATTAACTATATAATTTTAGAAGTATTATAGTTAGTCTTTTTTGTCTATGCTATCTAACGGTTCCTTGAGTGATATTATTTTATCGTAGGTTTCATTATCGGCTACCTGCTAATAAATGCCATAAAATTATCTGTATTTTATTATCTCACCGTGTCTATCGGTTAAAACACAATCACTGTTATAGTCAGTATCAGTTGTTTTTGTATAATATGCTGGAGTTGTTGTGCTTATCCACAATCCTAAGAAGTTACACATCTGGCTTGAATTGATACCTGGTTCGTTTGTAGCTAAAATTTTAAAAAACATTTTATTTTAAAAGTATTGCCATATTATGTATTTTACTGGCTACTACTTTTCTTCAAAAAAACAAAAAGAAAACCCTTAGTTAAATAATTAGCGTTAAACGCAACACATAAGCGATGGACAAAAACAGTTAATCGACAATTAAAGAACAATACCTAGACTATTGAAAGGTAAAATAATTTTAATTATAATGTTGTCATATATTGTATGTTAGGAAATGAATCTAGCCAAAAGTATGTATATGAGTTGTGTTAGTTCTATAACTGTGTTATATTTTAAGAACTACATGTATGTGTTACTGTTATAAAAATGAATCGTTAGTATTTATGACTGTAAAGTATTCAGCATTTATATTATAATTATTATTTAAAAAAATATATATACTATTGAAAAAAATTATTTGTATAAATGATCTTTTTTTATTCTACATTTATATTTACCTAAAACCCTTTTAATTTTATTTTTAAAACTTTTTCAGTAAGAAGTCTTCTTGCTTGTCCAAGATGGGTCAAATTTGATTTTCCATAATGTGCAATAATTCATAAATAACCGTGTTGTCAACGAATGATAACACTACTTGGTGAGTTGCTAGTTAGTAGCTATTAGTTGAGGTTTCAACTCTAGATTTGGTTTTGAGTTATTTCCGCAGTTAGTCAAATAATTACTTATAAAACTCATAGACATGATATTAGTGTTGATTTGAACGAAATTTTTAGGAATAGTTTAGGTAACATTCGGCAATAATCAATTGGAAGTTGGCAAACAGTTTATATACAATCATTTTTTCAACAATGCAATGATATTTTGATTTCAAAAGTTTTTAGATCAGAAATGGTACTTGACAGACACATCTAAGACTAAATGAAAAAAAAATGATGTCTTGCAAATCAAAATCGAGAGGTGTTTCTCTTAGCATTTTACGGCCTATTTAATTTTTTGAAAAATAGTCGAAACACTTGCAAACTTGCGTAGGAAGTTTCTTACAAATACTATGCCAGATATAAAAATCTTAATAAATATCATTACCAAATTAGGAATCGAGCATTTACTTTTTTCGGATTTTTAATTGAAAAATTACATTTAGTGTAGATCTATCACACACACCGTTTACTAATTTCACACAAATCTAGAATAAAAAAAAAAAAAAAAAAAATACCATACAAGTAATGAATTTAATTTTAAGGTTGCTTATCAGCTTTATAATAAGCTGCAATTAATGAATTTAGATATTATTGTTTGACATCATTATTTAAGAATTAAAATCGATTTTTTTCTCACACTAAAATCAATTTTTTTACGAAAACTAATTATGCAACCAATTTATTAACTATGTAAATTATATGCTAAATTATGTATCGTTTCATTGTTTTACACAAGAAAAAATTGTAATAAAAAAATGAGTTAACTGAGTCAAATAAATTAAAACAAATGAAATGCAACCGACCTCTAAAAAAAGTTCAAAATAATGCTAAAATATACTATTATGCTACATTTATTGTTATTCATTATGCACTTTTCCATTGAAATTTCTATTGAGTTTCACAAGACAAAATTTAATTATATCTATTGTTAATTAATATGCATCTGACCTCTAAACTAGTGTAAAACCGCAAAGTTAAAATGAACTAAATAAGACATATCTTGTGTAGTTTTCAAACAGTGCGTTTTAATAATAATTATATATAACGTAGATAATAATTCTGCATACTTTATTTCCTTTACTTTTGTTAAGATTTTAATCAATTGTATAGCTGTTATTCATACAATGGATTTTTTTGTTAATCAAATATTCAATTTAAGTGGTTTTTCTTTGCTCGGTGTTTTCGGATCAACTGCAATTATTGGATTCACATATTATTATTTGACATCTGTAGTCCAAGTAAGTAGTTATACATATATTTTAGAGATTTGACAATTTTTAAAATCTTAAAGTTTAAACATAAAGATAAAACAACAAGAGTGTAATATAGACTCTCTAGTTCCGGAAAGACAATAGGGTAGAATAGGTTTTCTTTTAAAAACCTTAAGACCACAATTGTTTTAAGTATAAGACTAATGTAAGATACAACCTTTATCGTACGACTGCAAATCACTTTTGAGATATCATTTTAACTTTTTAGTCTCATTATAATATGTACTTGAGTAATAAACACTGTTTCAAATTTAAAAATGTTTATTTTATCTGTTCTTCATTTTTCCAAATGAAACTGTGCATCGCCGTCGTTCCAACTATCCACAACCCACGGCTATAAAACTTAGAGCTGGACTTCAAAAACGGTTGTTAGTTTAAGATCATGACAAAAAAGCCTAATAACATTTTAAATATTCACACAAAAAGTACCAAAATACATCTCCTTTATAATATTTTACTTGTTAAGTTCAAATATACTGAAAATTTTGACCGGTCAATAACCAGTTTTATAACTATTTATTAACAATAGTGTAACTATGTTATCGCTAACATTTTAAATAATGTGTACAATTATAATATACAAACAAATTGTTCACTTAGGAACCTAAATTACACTGCAAAGAAGGCAATTTCAAGAGGTTTCTTTACCAACATGTGCCTCTAACAAAAGCAAAAATGTGGCCGTTGGTATTGGGTTTTGAACCTCATGTGAATTCTCTGATAGCAGCTTTTATGCGACATTTATTTGTGCCATCCATAAAATATGACAGGTACATCTCAATCATGTTGATGTTATTGTATGGCATATTTTATTATGCTAATTTTTTCTAGAGAATTACTGGATCTCAAAGATGGCGGTCAAGTAGCATTAGATTTTTTGGAACCAAATGAAAATTCAAAAAATGGAGATGTCACGATTTTGATATTACCTGGGGCTAACAATAATTCTAGAAGTGGGTATGTAAGAGCTGCATCATTAGCCCTGCAAAAATCTGGATTTCGAGCAGTTGTTTTTAATTATAGAGGATTGGGAGGAGTCAAATTAAAGGTTAGTGATAATATTACAAATATTTATACTGATTGAGAAAGTTACATTTCATAACCAATGTAGTTTAGAGTAGTTTATTTACTGAGTGTAAATAAATTTGATGGATGAATAACTAAAATAAAAGATAAATAACATCAATTTTTCGTTTCAATCAGTTTGCAATAATTATTGTACTTTCAATGTATGATAACATTATATTGGTCTTTTAATTTTAGTTTTTTATCCAAAACCTCAATCAATATCTACTATGTCGTTTTTAAACCAAACTATTAAAAAAACGCTATAAAAATGCATCAGATTCTAAGCCAGCTTACTAAAATACAACTCCCATCGAGTAGGCAAAAAAACGAAAAAGTCCTTACTTAAATTATTACACTTATAATTTCTTCGTATAAGTCGTTTTAAATGTTATCAATTTTTTTATCGAATTTAAAAAAAAAAATTATTTTTTATACTTAGACGCCAAAATGTTATTCCGGAAGCAACATAGAAGATCTTACAGAGGTAATTCATCATGTAAAACAAAAGTACCCTAAAACTGTTTTAGGGGGTTTAGGAATATCGATGGGTTGGTAAGTAACTGTAACTGTTATAATTGTTTATATATTAAACATCGATCTACAGCATGATAACTTTTGTTTTATAGTTCGTTGTTAGGAATTTATATGTATTCTAACGATCAATATACTCATAAACATTTGAGTGCTGCAATGCTTGTATCAGTGGTTTGGAATACAAAGTCTACCACATCATCTATGTCAACAAGTACCATGAACCGTATGATTGATTTGTTTTTTACACGTTGCCTTATAAATTCTGTGAAGAAGTTTGTTATTTTATATTCCGCCATAATAGTATTTTTTTTTTTATGCATAACTTATACATCACATTTAATATTTCCATTTAGGAATAGAAAAGTCTATGACCGTCCAAACCAAAAGTGGAATTACAATGAAGTAATTAAGGTATGAAGACGTGTAACGGTTTTGTCTAAAATATAATTTACTCAATTTTTTTTCGATTTCAGAGTAAAACTGGAGACGAGTTTTGTAGAAATTTCACAATTAAAGTGCTCGACTACGATACGATTGATGATTACTATGATTCTTTTTCAATGCATGACAAAATAAACCGCTTTAATATACCATGTTTGTGTTTGAGTGCTGCTGATGATTATTTATCTTTAAAACCCGGTAAAATCATGTTGAAATATTGTTACAATGATAGAACTACATCTTGTACATATTTTAATTTTTTTTAACTATAAGACTTAACTTAGGTAAAAACATTGAAATGATTTTCGCCCATACTCAACTACTTGTTTTTACATGCTTTTCTTTAGCTCGCTAACACGTACGTACGTTTGTACGGGTATATTTCAAATCTTGCAAAATTAATTAAACCCACTTCCCGATGTCGTAGAGTGCTGAAACTTGGCACAGACACTCATCTCGGATGACAATACAATATCCTGTAATCATATTAGGATTCGGGCAATCAGGTCGCCCTACACAGGATCAAATGTTGGGGTCATTTCACTAAAATTTCATGTTTTTTCAAATCTTCTAAATTTAATTTAATCCACCTCCTGATATCATAGAAGGCTTAAATTTAACCCAGACACTCATTTTGGATGACAATACAGTGTTCCGTCAATATATTGGGACCCAGACATCCAGGTTGCAAATGCCGTGGGGTCAAATATGGGGGTCATTTCACTAAAATGTCATTTTTTCTTTTTCAAATCTTCTAAAATGAATTTAGTAATTTATTCACCGATTATTAAGTATCTTTAATAGGTCTTAAAATAAAATAAATAAATAAACAAATTTTAAAAACTAGTTTTTCTAAAAAATAGTAAAAAGTGATCTAAAAAAGTGAAAAATAATGTTATTACAAGAACAATTTACCAATCAATTGTAGCACGTTTAATTTAAAATATCAATTACTTTGAAAACAACCGAAAATTAACTACAATTTTAAATAATGTTAAACATCTTTCATTTTTGACAAAAGAGAAAAGTGTGGACCCTATTAAACAAAGTCCCAATTTATAGAGTTAAGTATTATAAAAATGTATGTGTCACACACTAATATTAAATCTAATTTAAATTACAAAAAAACTTACAATGTAAAATATTTTATGATACAATTTATTAGGGACTTTGTTGAATAGGGCCATTAATTATTGTCAATTTTAATTTTAGATGTACCTATAGAACTAGCTTCCACTACAGAAAATGTTGCGATTTTATTAACTGCAAGAGGAGGACATATTGGATTTTTCGACAATTTTAGACCGTTTTCAGGAAAGGATGAGTTCATGATACGACTTATATTGCAATATTTCGAAGCAATGTTCAAAAATGATAACTACAAAAAATTTACAAATTGACTGATCGAACTTGACTCATATTTTTGTTGGTCATACAGATTAAGTTAAGATCAAATATATGATAATATTTTATATATAATTATATTTTATAAATATAAATAGATAAAAATTTAGATAAGAATACAGTAAAACATTCGTCTAGTTGAAGATCTGGGTATAACTTATTTATTTGAAAAATGTATTTTAAGTGCTGGTTTGGACTGTACTGGTTTAGACTGTACCATCTTTTTTTGTTTTGGTGTATTTTTGTTGTTATTGTATTATTTATTAGTGCACGACCGGTTTTTTTTTATTTTGTTTTATGGGCTGGGAGCTAGACTTAAACACTAAATCACTAAAGTCAGAAATTTTTAACTTTTTAAATGGTCTGAAACCAAACTGTCTAATTCCGTAAAAAGAATTAAGTATCTGTTTAAATCAACAAATAAGGAACAAACTTGATGTTAATCGTAAATAAATCTGTTTATTGTGAAATACATTAAAGTAAATGACAACTCGTATATTAGAGCATTATGAAATTTGTATTTAATCGAAATATAAATAATGTTATATAATTTTATTCCGTTGATTTCTGACTGTTTTATAACTGTGTCTTAAGTAATTGTACTCTATTATTTATGTCATTGAAGCTTACTTGCCACCATGTGCCCTCAATTTCTCTGTATACTTCGGCTGTTGATCCATCCCATACGGTACAAGTACCATTAGAGCCAGTCTTAAAATCTTTTTTATTAGACGATGGGAGTTTTGTACTCATTAACAGTGCTATCAAACGACACAACCCTAATAAAGAGACACCATGTTCATATCTATCTAAAAAAATAAAAACATTTTTTGTTTTTAATTTACTAAAATATTCTTACTAGTTAATATATTTCCTCGCGGTTCTACACACAACTACCTTTCTTGTAAAAAAAGTTGCTTCTGATAGTTACATAATTATATTAAATTTCTACCTGTGATAGTATTCATTTTTTTTGTACAGCCTACTATTAGTATTAATGCTCGATGAAAGTATTCATGTTTTACTTATTTTATTACCACTTAAAAAAGTAGACAGCAAAAACGTGCGGTTTAACGGTTAAATAATGAAATGATTCGATGGGATTTTGTGATAAGTACCAAACGACAAGAATCTTCATTGTAAAATATTGTTATCTGTTTTGTATATTTGTAATTATTATACTTTTTTTGCATAAGAAGTAAACATTTACTTACAGGTCGTTTAAAATTTTGCGGTAAACATAATAGCCGTCACACTCTTATTCACCATAAATAGTTATACTTCATTATAATTATTGTGTCGAAACAAAAAAAAGCAAATTTAATTTTTAAGACTTTTTGGCATGCTATTAAATACATATTTTATTTGTCCAGGGGACTTAGACAGAGGAATAAATAACTGTGTAAGGTCTGTAATTTTGTTACAGTAGAAATAAACTAAATGTCCATAGTGCATAATGAATTTTAGATAATGGTGTCTATAAAATATTATGCATTAATATTATTCTTTGAACAGAAATATTTTTTTAAATCAATTATTGGAATTCTACAATAATTTTTACCTATAACACGTCTGATTATATTTTTTAAAGCTGGTCCAGTAAGACGTCTTCTCTCTTCTGCAAGTTCTTTCAAATAATGTCTATCCAAGACATCAAAATCTGCGGAAGTTATTAATTGATCGTTTTGAAATCAGAATTATTATTATATTATTTTGTCTACTGATTTATGTATTGTTTATTAACGTATTTTATCTGTCATTGGTCAGTTAATATTGTACATTTTGAGTTTGATATAGGTACTTTGTTATATTTGTAGTATTTTGTTTTGTTTTAATATTAGGTTATCGTTTTGTTTCGTTGTTCTTAATTTCCCATTTGTTGTTAACTTTATTACATGTACATTCTATAATACCGAAAGCCGATTAGGGTTAGTTATATAAATAAATAAATTTGAATGTGGTATGTTCCGTTCTAAAATTATTTAATCGCTTTAATGCTAATGTGTGCACCTCACTTACTATCTTACTGTGCTTGGTTTGGACTGTACTGGTTTGAAAAAAAAAACCATAGATGCACATATAAAGAACAAAAAACAAATATTTGTAAAATGGTAAAAATTAAATACAATAGTAGTTGAATAGTTATATAGTCACGCCATCTTTACCAAGCTAAAAGTTCAATTTATTGTAATTGTTATGTCAAAAAAATTATATGTAAGGTGAATGTCATCTTTATAATAAGCCAGGTATATTTAATAAATTTGTAATTACTATATTTTCTTTTAGTGGCCTCAGCCACAGGAATCTCTGTAACAAAAAACAAGGGACACTCTAAACCAAGTTTAATTAGGTAATTATATCTCTAACTATGTGAAATTGCTTATACCCTGCTCAATAATATATCCATGCTAATAAATTATCAACCATTTATCTACTCGGGTTAGGTTAGGTAGATCTCAGTAGTTATTAATTAAAAAAATTGTTTACTTAAAAATATTTAAATTGATATTTACTTAAATCATGGCTTATTTCTATTCCCATAACACCTTGGTGGCCTATAGCATCTATAATTTCTAAGAAAATAATTAATTTACATATTGTTATAATAGTTGAAACCAATATGAGGTTATTGATTATTTTTAATATATTTTAACTAAGAATATGTGTAAATAATTGTAAATGTAAATGTAGTTACCTCGTTCACTGTTAAGTGGTGCAAAGTCTGCAATTAATACGAATAAATGTTATGCTTAATGGATATCAAAAAACTGTGTTGTAATAATTCTTTAAAATTCTATAAAAAAAGATTACCCGGTACAGCGATCATATAATTCATTCTGTCTGAAATTGACATTATATAAAATAGATATTTATTAGATTAAAAATAACTAAGAAGACTATGGTCAAGCTAGAACAAGTTTAAAGCATGTGCTCGATTATATGATTTCTGAATTGTAGCTAGTGAAGATGGTTTTTCAGAAGAATTCTGAAGCAAGTGCTTTGCTCGATTATATCAAATAGAGTGGAGACGTTATGATTATACGATTGAAGCTGGCGAGGATGGTTTTTCAAAGAGATCCCATATATATTTGAGAGAAAAATTTGAATAAAGATTAATTTTTGTTGTAATGCGTATATTATTTAATATTAATATAATGATAACTACCCAGCGTATGAAAATTTTCACAGACAATTGATTTAATTACATATTCTAACCCATCTAAAATAAACAAAAAAGGGTTAAGCTTTAACAAAACTTCATACAAAATTACAACAGATACAAAAATCAAAAGACTACACCATGCTTTAAGAGACGACAATATTTAACTTAATGCTACTTTTCCCGTTGGGTTAAAATATAATCACTGCCTAAAGTCAAGTGTTATATTTGATTTTCATATCTTGAGTATGTACTCAGTGTTTGGTACACTAATACATCACGTATTTTCAATATAAACATTATGTATACAAAAATGTTTTATGTATAAGCTGTTTGACAAGCAGGCGAACAAAACAATTTTATATTGGCAAAATAGTTTTAAATATTTTTTTCCAAATAAACCACTCGTATTAATTTTAAACACAACTTACTTTCTACATTCTTACTTCTCACCACATCGTTCTCAATTCCCGATGCTAGCTTCATGAGTCTGTCTGTTGTACATTTTTCAAAAATATGTATAAAATCAGAAAAATTTTAAAAACTCAAAAAATGTGGTCAATACGATAAAAAAAAATGTTACTGACTCGCAAGAGAAACCGCTCTTATATACTCCACTGTAAAGAAAAGTTCAATAGTATTTCTACCAACTCAGTAAGTACGAAAACAGTTTAATTACTTAAATCGGCCGAAACATTTACAAAGACACAAGTCAATAATAAAACGGTGAAATGATTCATATTACCTGCAAACAATAATAAAAATAAAATCGATTCATATACTAGCACTAAAGGAATGGCAGTCACAGTCATAGGAATAATGTATCCAAGGGAAGTAGGATAATGGTGCAGAGATTATCTTTGTTTTTGAGATTACCTGGTTTTCTTTGGCAACAGTAAGGTGGCTAATTTTTTCCATAGTAATATACGGTTACACACAAATTTACAGTCAATAAAGTTATAATTTCTAATAAATTATGTATTAATATATAATATATCAATTATTAAATTAATTATTTATTATATTAACTACCTATATTAATTTATTTATTAAGATATGTGAACAATTGACCAGTTGTGCATAAGCTGTCACGATTTTCGACCGTAGGTAAAGGAACCGCTTCTCCAGATATTATAAAAAAAAAAATAATGAGTGTTATCATTATCTGGCTATCGGTTTTATCGACGGACGACGGGGTCGATAATATTATTTAATAGCAAGTACTACATGCTACCTGTGTTGAAATCCCAAATGAATATGTATCAACATTTCAAATTTTTACAATGTAATAAGTAGGGAGCCAATTTATGAAAATTACAATTTCAAGCGTTAAATGTTTTTAAAAAATGTTGTCAACTGATTTATGATATTAAAAATAATTTTAAATTATAATTATACTTACTTAAATTATTGTTGAACTGAAGAAATCTCTGATACTATATTCACACTTCGAAAAAAATGTAGATTAGCGTATGACAAACTTATAAAATGCGTACTTACGTCTTTACGAAGTTAAAGAGTAACTTTTAAGGCGAGTTCAACTCGATCGGCAAAACTATTTAAATTTCGTTAAGTATCGTAGGCTAGATACAAAAATTGTAAATATTAGAAAAACTTTTGGAATGTGTATAAAATAGTACTAATATTTAATACTCTTGAAAGTTTAATAATAATTTTTAAGTGGATTTCTTTGTTGTTAAACTTGAAATTGGAACTTGTCGATGAGCTCATAAGTCGATGGAAATAGCAAATTCTAAATATATTTTGCAAGGTGCCTATAACAAATTATTTACATAGCTGGTTATTTTGGTCAAAACATTACATATTGAAATTATTAGTAATCCCTTTATTTTTAATTCCAATCTTTTGTAATTCATTGTTGCATACAGACGTACGTACAATTTTATTTATTATTTTATTTTTAATATAATAATAATATGTACTTTAAAGTTATATAAAATATGGTATACGTGCCTATATTAATTTATTTACATAGCTGGTTGTTTTGTTCAATATATCATAATATATTTACATTATTCTGATATAGAAATTAGAACATTTTCTCCTTTAAAATAATTCGCTAAACTGATAAAAATCGTAACTTTCTTATATGTTATTCAATATATATATTTTAAAATAAATTAAAAATAACATTTAACTAAGTTTTCCTTTACTTTAGAGCCTAAATCAAAAATAAAGTATTTCATGTACATTTAGAATGATCATTAGGAGCTTAGGCGAAAAACATGTAGTTCTATGACTTCAAAACTTAAATCTAATTTAAACATTTTTTTTTAGAACTTAAAGTAGCTGTAAATTTTTAAAGAATTTTAATTTTATACTTACACAATTTTATTATTATTTGTGTTTTGCTGATCAGCTTTGAAATTCCTAGTCTTTTAAAACAGAACGTGTATTACGCCTTTAATGATTATTGGCGATGGCAAAAATTGTATCCTATGCGTATGTGTAGAAGAGTTTCAAGACCCTTGACTTTGTATTTTATCATCGTTTTCAATAGTAAAGCTGGACTTTGTATCGGCAAAGACAAAGTAGCAGTTTGGAGAATTTTACAATTTTAGTTTCATACAAAATTAATAGTAGCAAACAAGAATACCTAAATTTAATTAAAAAGTTAATGAACAACGAAAGTTTTGACAAAATACAGAATATTAACAGATAAGAGTAGCTAGTAAATGCGGCATCCTAGTCCCCCAACAGCACACTTGGAGCAGAAAAGTAAACTATTTTGGCTTCGACTGACATGTGTTATCACCAAACCTTACCTAACTGATACGATATAACAGTGTTTAACTAAACTATAAAAAAAAATAATTGTATTTGTTATTGTTATTGATTTATTTTTTCTTATTCTTATTGTTTTACGCCGTTAACCGAATGCCACATGGAAATTATTAAACTGTCTGGTTCTAATATTAGGGAAAAAAAATCTGATTTTATTAATTAATTTAGGACAATCAATAAATCCGTTCAGCAGTTTAAAACCAAAAACAATGCAAGTTTTTTCTTTTGATTTTAAGGTTCTAGTCTTAAGAAGTCTAGTAAAGGTTGGTACGACCAATGAGGTCGATGTGGAACATTACCAACATCTTGTTGAAATTAATCGTAAAAAGTGATTTTGTAAACATTCTAGGACTAGTGCCGGACCATCTGTGTATGGTGACCATAGCACAGAAATACATTTAAGTATTAAACGAACATAAAAACAGTATAACATTTTGAGAGCAGACGGATTATTAAAATCTTTAAAATTACGATTAATAAAACCTAACATAGAAGAAGTTTTGTTTTGAGTGTACCTAGTTATAATGCTCGAAAAATGATAAAGTTGAATTAAAAAGTAATGCTCAAATATTTATAGTAGTTAACTCCATTTAGTTGTATACCATTTAAATGATAAATATTGAAGAATGGAAAGTGTTTAAGTCACTTTTTGAGTGTTTTCACATTTTTTTCGGTTTTTTGATTCTCTGTGCCACTGAGGTTACTGAAATTTCAATTATTTTTTTGGTTCTACCTCAATTATAGGACTATTAGTACTTTAAGAAAATTAAAAACTATCTTTATATGCGAAAAAGTGTTAAAAAACAAAATAAATACAGTAGATAAGTAACAAATGTTTTTATCATCGTGATTAAAATGGTTAATAATTGGTTACATTAAATTTATTGACGTTTTGGATATATGTGCTGTATGTAAAATTCATTTAAATATAACAAGAACAATACTATAAAATAAGTTATTCAAATAATTGGTCCAAATTATTAAAACTGATCAGCTATTGGCTCTTTTGGAGATTTATTTTCGCCCATTTGCCAAATTATGCCACCAAATGATTTGTATACGGTTTTGGTCATATTTATAGTTTCTATACAACAGTTTTCATCCGTATCGACATTAACAGACGTCACATATGAATCTGGAAATTTTGCGCTTCTGAATAATGCTATTAAATAACACGTGTGGGAAAAGTTTTTAAATTCTGCAATCTCTCCTCCTTAAAAAAAAAAAAAATACAATAATTACCGAATTTACCAAACACTGCTGAACATCATAAACCCATTATTTATTTATCTTAGTTATCTAAAATAACTTAGAAACTTGAAGCTTTTTTATATAAAAAAAAAAATGGTAATAAACTAATAAAAGACTTAATGGATATTTACTTTGTTGGCCCCGAATTAAATGTTTTATAGCTCTTAATGTAATTTCTCTTCTTTTATTTCCATAAAATGACAGATCAACGCTCCAATCAAAATTGTCTTCATAACAAATAATAAACAAAAAAATAATAATAAAATAGTTTCTCGTGATAGCATTGAATTTACATTTTAAAGGAATGTAATGTTGCCAATGTTACAACTTGACATTAATATACAATATGTACTTTATGGAGCCTTTATTCTAATCTAATAAATTTAACATGACATGGTACTATACATTTGTAATCACTCCCCCTGAATGTATCTTAGAGAAATATTAAAAAGGCATTGTTTTCACAATAATATGTTTTTAGATTATTTTTTTTTAGTGTCTAGCCAAAGATATTTTTTTAATTTCTTACAGACTTATTCGCGTAGAAACTTTTTTGATCAGAAATCTTACCCGAAAAATATTTTATTGGAGCAAAAAGAGGTTAAACGTTCACTCCTTTCTTTAAATTTTATAAAATCTCAACCAACAAATGTAAATATTTTTCATTATAAAAGTGCTTCATTTAAAATAATTGCATACCATGGCATGTCCCTACCAGACGTGTTACAGACCTAAAAATCAACAGCTAATAACCTAAGTTGCCGAAGGTAAAAAAAAAGTAGTTAAATAGTTCCAAATTTGCATGGAATATTCATTTTTTTCAATACGATTAACCAGTAGAATAGCCAAAGAACTGCCACACAAACGGTTAGGAAAGCCGGACTGCTAATTACAATTATTAGATCTAAGCATTAGTTAGATTAATCAGCATCCTACTGCAAGGTACAGTTTTTGCAGACCTTTTTTGAACTTGTACATTAGTAATCAAGCCGTACCTCCGAAAAATGAATGTATAATTGTGATTACCTTTATTTATTAAAGGTGCTCTGATGCCTATAACCAATATATAAAATATCAATTTATTATACAACTATAAAAATCATTTTTATTAATTTGTATCTATAATAGTCATCCTATAGTTGAGAATATTTAGACAAATCAGTTAGTTTGAAATAATGTAAACATTTTGAAAACCATGTTTATGCCCAAAATTTATAAAAACCATTTTGTACACAGTTTTTTTAAGTTTCTTAGCAAGAGTTCTATATTGATTCAATAATTTAATAATTATTCTTCGTGTAGTAAAGTTACATTTTATACATACCTACTAGACCTTTTATTTCTGTTCTCATATCAATCTGGCAATTTATATCTCCTAAATGAAAAACAAATACAATTTACTATACATAATTTATTTTGATAGATTTCAATATAAATCTAAACCAAGGACTCTGTGTAATTAATATAAATAAAAAATATATAAAGGTTATTACTCAATGAGTTTCTGACTGCAAGCTCTAAAAGTATAATGGTAAAATTGTATACTTAATAAATATCGAATAACTATGTAGACATATTTCCATAAAATGTTAAGAATATTCTTACCGGGTACAGTCAACATAATGACCATTTCCTCTGAAATTAACATAAGCTAAATGTATTATTTTGTAACGTTTGTATATTTTAAATTCTAATATAAATTAGAAGGTGGTCCAACAAAAGGTCATTTGTCTTCTCAATTTGGAAATATTTGCTTGCACATATTATAATAAGTTAAGTGGAGACTATCGTAATAAAATGACTGAATTGTAGTAGATGTGAGCAAAATAAAATATAACGAATAGATATGAATGAGAGAAAGATCTTTGTCAGAAAGATTCCATTTAGATTTTATTGTAAAATATAAGAACTACATAAATTTGCATAATGATAAATTTTTACAGTTTTTATATCAATTATTTAATTTAAAAATATTTCTATTTAATTTTTCAATTATATGATTACCGAAAGTATATCTTCCAAGGCAAATTAAGAATCTTATTACTACCCACAGTTGCACTGGAATAAACAAACAACGGTTTAAGCAATGAAAAAAAAACAAGAATTAACTTGAACATTAATTGTGGTTATGTATACAAAATTAAAAATTATTACAAATTAGTAGTTAAGAAATTAATAGTATTTGAAAAACCCCTTAACCGCCAAAAATAATACACCTCAACAGGCTGATTCAATAAGCATAATATTTGCTCATTTGCTCTTAAAATAATTCCAACATTGTAGTTTTTTAATTTCGAAAATTAGATTTCATAAGTTGGAAGAACTCTGCGAAATACTAAAAAAAGGTAAATTAGTAATTTATTAACTTTATAAATTGTAATTTACAAAAAATCTAAAGAACTACGTTTATTATCTATTTTAAGAGAAAACGAGTGTCCTACACTTAATGAATCACCTAGGCAGTGTCAGACCAGAATTAATACCTCATCGTCAACATGTAATAATACAATTCTTAGGAAAATGTTTGTTAATGAAATAAACTGTCAAACAGATATTTCGATAAAAAGCAATTAGTCTGTTTTGAGTCCAGATGACAAAAGCATTGCTTCTGAAATACCCGTATACCCTCAGTGTAGGTATTCTTTTTCTTGTAAAGGGTTTTTAAGTTATTTTATTTTTGTATAACAAACTATAAACAAAGTTTCCAAAAAAATATTTGATGAATTAATAATCGGACAAACATATGTGTCAAAAACACTATATTTTAGCGTCTGAATTATAAATACTTTTTACCTCCTACGATCTTGATGTGTTCGTCTGTAACAGATTATATGGAAATATTAAATTATTTTACATGAAAAAAAATTATGTTTACTGACTTGTTTTAACGACCTCCTGATAATATCTATCTGTAAAACAGTGAAGTATTATGATTTTTTTTTTTAAATAATATATTTCTACTACCTCGTGTAAGTTCGTGAGGATAACGGTATAATCACCTGCTACTAGAACGTTTACCAAGGCAATTGACATTGTTATAACGTATAAAAATTTCATATTTGTCTGCAAATAATAACAATTATTAAATTGCTACGAACTTAGTAGATTTATTATTATCAACTTCAATACGGAGCTATAATAATGTATTTTATATCACATATTTTGTATTTTTACTTTTGTAACTCGATCTACGATATCTTCAGAACCACCAAATTTATTTCATCTCATAGGAAAAATTCTGTACATCAGAAATCATACCAAAAACTTACATAACCATCAGCTAGTCGCGCCCCTCGATCTATCAAATTTTCAAAAACCCATAAGACAACTTAAATGTGTATTTACAATTTAAAATGAATTAAATTAAAGTCAACGCGATTTAAAATAAAATAAAATCATTTTTAAAACTAATGACTTTGATGAGCGCTATAAATAAACTGTAAATAAACATAATAAACTATTGTTTTGGTAACTGACAGATTTATCATAGTATTTCCAACTCATTAAGTTTGACTTGTGTCACTTAAGAATAACGTAATCATATTTTTAAATTAAAAATGTCATGTTAAATTAAAAAATGTTTTTTTTTTTTATTTTTTACCGAAAGGTTTAGAGTGAATTTTTTTAATTTTGTCCATATGAAAAAGCATATTGTACAATAATTAAACATTATAATATATAGTTAGAAATTACAATTTAACGGAATTGGCCTAGCGGTTAAATAACTATCGCAGGCAATTACAAAAAAGGAAATTATAAAAAAAAAATGTAAAAAACATACTTACATTGTTTGAAGTTTCGTACAATATAATGAACTTACTTAAATACTGAATATGAAAATAAGATTAATTTGATTGGCTTATTAAACGAACAATTTTAATGTGATTTCCTTTTGACTTGTAAAGGGGCTTTTCTGTCGACTGAAATAGTATACTCGAAGTATATTTTGCAGGGCGACTATGTTGATTTATTTACACATCTGTTATTTAATTACATTTTCTTCAACTGCTGGCACGTGTCGGTAAGGTTTTAATTTTAAACTTAAAAAAAACACTGTAATACACGTGGACGATAATGTGCTGCATTTGTCAATATTCGAAGGTTATTGGTAAATTGCAAGTAGACAATATTCACTAAATAGAAATTGTACGTATTGCCCAAAAAGCTGTTACATTTTTTTTTATAGAACTAATATTAAAATTTAAAAAAAACTTGTATGAACTATCATGAAAATTTTTGCATGTACTAAAATGATTAAAGTACCAATGTTTTGTACAACTAGAGAGAAACCTAACTAAATAAAACATATTATTCTGTTTTTATTTTTTAGTCGGCAGGACATCTCTCTTATGAATAGCCAAAAACAAATACTTAAATCAACCATTAATTTTTTATTACTCTGGTATTGTGTTCTAGAATTGTTTCGTTCAAATTATAAATGAAATCATTTCCACTCCGATACCACACTAACAACTATGCGTGTAATAAACTTTTTAATAACATGAGAATATATATTTTCTTCTTAAGCCCAATTATTTTTAACGGCATGTAATTTTTTAACAATTCAGCGACTATATTTTAGTTTTTTAGTCGTAATTTTAGGACCTTTAAGTTGAAAACTTGTCTCCAGTCGCTAAAAAACGTAAAGTCAACGCAAGACGTTCGGTTACACTTATTGCAGTTCTCCAATTAGTGTTTTTCTTTGCAATTGCTGGACCGACGAGGCATATCAAATTTTCAAAATCTCCAATTGACATTCTCAAAAATGTTTTAAAACTAGACCGCAATTCTCCGTTCGAACCAGTGTCATCGTCCCGTAAATCTTTTAAAAGTTCATTAACACCATATACATTCCTTTTTTCTAACGTTGGTCTTACCCAAAAACGTCTTTTATTTTGAAGATTTAAACAAAGACATCCAGCACTCAACATTAGTAAATCTTTCTCATCTTCGATATTTCTTTTAAGTTTCCACGTTGTTATTTTAATTTTTTAAACAATTTTATTATAAAAATAAAAAACGAACGAACTAAGAACCGAATCGATCGCATTTCGAAGGCAGACTAAACTAGTATAAAATTATGAACACAATTTTAAAACGATCTTTTCAGTATGGATAGATGAAAACAAAAACAAAACACAAACATAGTGTTTGAATTTTGTTCATGATTTGTTGAGGTTGTTTGGCAATTCAGTCTGGACAAATGTTTTTTACAGTTTTGTTTTTTACGAACAGAAAAAAGTTGTGTTTTTGTTTTGTTTTGTTTTTTAAACCTCTGTGTGGACCTGGCATTAGGTTTTATTAATTGTAATTTTAAAGATTTTAATAAACCATCTTCTCTCAAAACTTTATACTGTTTTTATGTTCGTTCAATACTTGACTGTAATTCTGTATTATGGTCACCATACACAGGTGGTCCGTCACTAGTCCTAGAATGTTTACAAAATCACTTTTTACGATTAATTTCAACAAGATGTTGGTAATGTTCCACATCGACCTCATTGGTCGTACCGACCTTTACTAGACTTCCTAAGACTAAAACCTTAAAATGTTTAAGTAAAATTATGACCAGCTCGACAAAACGGATAAAGACGAACAATGCGAGTTTCTTGCGACACGGAAATGACCTTATGTGTTATGTCGACCGAAATAGTAAAACCTAAATATAAATTTTGCATGGTTTACATATGGGTACCAGGGTTTTAGAACACACACACACATGTTTCACACAAGTCTCGCTAATATTGATAAGGATATTCTTACTTATTTTATCATACCTAATACTTATCTATCATCTTATCTCATTTCATAGTGTTTTTTTTTTTTTATTTTGATGCAAAAACACCAGCATAGTCACATTTTCTGGTGAAAGTGAGGCTCGTTTTTTAGTAACTAGATTACCTGCCGACAAAGAGCAGCGTACAGAGCCTACTAACTTGTCAGGAGTTGTAAAATAATCTTTAGCTAGACTGGCTAGTGCAGGATACCTCAGGGAGCGGGACTTTTACCATTCTAAAGGATCCAGAGTAAACCGCTACTGTGGTTCTGCTATATAATTTTGAAATTGTTTCACCTGTGTTTGAACTCTAGTTTGGAGCTCGGGTTACAGCTACAGGATTCTTAAGAACGGCCAAGTTCCAGACCCTCTCCCAAAAAAGTCAGCCAATCAAAGTGATAATATCTACATTGCGGTCAAGTCTGTTTTACGCCTCAGTCAGAAAGGTCATGTTTCATTCAGAAACTGGCCAAGTGTTACAAGTGCTACTGGCTTGCAAGTGTTGCTCGTGCAATTAGGAGTAAAGTGACGTTATGAACTAGACAAATAGCAGGCTTGGCCACAATGTAGTTATCACTACTTTGATAGGCTGACTTTTTTAGGAGAAGGTCTGGAACTTAGCCCGTTTTCACTGTAAGGTTTTTGTTGAAGATACACTATACTAAAAAATATAATAGTAAATCATAATATTAAAATTACATAAGGCGTTCGATTCAATGCAATCTAATAATTATTGTTTCTACAAGAATATTAAATAGTAAAACAGAGGTTTAAGAACATTGTTTTTCCTAGAACGTAATAATTGTGAGTGATTAACCGTAATTTGTTCGTACACATTTCAAAGAAAATAATTATTATTTTTCTCCCCTTATTCGCCTTATGCGTCACGCCAATGAAGACCCATCGTTCACCTTTTAATAAAAATATATACATTTTTTTTTTTTTGCCACTTTATACTTGCTATATTTTTCTCTTCTTCGTCTTGTAATTTTGAATTATTTTGTTTTATTTATTATCACTATTATCACGCACTCACGTGTAAATAAATCTGGGCTAAGCCCGTACATTATAAAATAAATAAATATTAAAACAAAACACTAAGTAGCAAAAAGTCCGGACTGTGCGTCAGAACAATTTAAATGTGTAATAAAAAAATAATAATAATAACAGCTATGTAAATAAATCAACATATTCATTCTGCAAAATATATTTAGATTTTACAATTTTGATATGCTTAAAAACCCACATACAGGTCACAATAAAATCACTAAAAAATTGTTCGTTTAACAAGCCAATTAAATTGAACTTTTTCAAGTCGATCATTCAAATACGATATTGTATAAGACTTCAAACATTGTAAGTATGTTTTTGAAAGTTTCTCTAAGTATTTATTTTTGTATCTGTCCACGATAACTATTTGACTGCTAAGCCAATTTCACTAAATCGAAATTCCTTTACTGCATAAAATAATGAATAATTACTGTACACGCTACTTCATAAGGACGAAAGTAAAAATGACATTTTTTTAATTTTAAAATTATTAAATTTGATTACTAAAAAATGCAAATTGTTTTATTGTGTCTCTTTGGAATTACTTGTTTGAAATAGGCTATTTTGGTCAAACGCTTTGAATGTTTTTTTTTTAAATACTTATGAAATAAATGGGGTTTTCCGACAGGTGCATGATTTTCGAATTTTTGGCTCCACAGTCTTGCGTCTATTCTCCTCTTATCCATTGCTATACTTGTTAGTACACTCCAGCGAAGTTCATCAGGCGCGATACAGGCCTCATCACCCCACAGGTGCAGCCCGACCACTTTATCAAATGTGACCAAGTTCATCGAATATGAGATTTTTATTACAAAGTTTATCAGTTTCATTATGTTATATCCTACTTTAACTCATGATTTACAATACACCACAATGTTTGGAAATTTGTTTTAAGGGATAAAAATGAGTGAACACCTCACATGTGCATAGCGACTATAGATGATAGAACGAGGGGCGCGACTAGCGGAGGGTTATGTTAGTTTTTGGTATAATTTTTGATGAACAGAATTATTTCTGTAAGATAAATTAAATGTGGCGGTTATGAAGATAAGTGAAAATACAAAATATGTGAAATAAAATACATTATTATTGTATGAGCTCCACAGCTCCTTATTGAGGCTGATAATAAATAATCGACTAAGTTTAATATAAAGCAATTAATTAATTGTTATTATTTGCAGATAAATATGAAATTTTTATAAGTTATAACAATGTCATTTGCTTTGGTGAACGTTTTGGTAGCTCATATAGGTGATTATTCCATTTTTACACGAACTTACACAAGGTAGTAGAAATATATACAAACAAACCAAAATATTTAACTATTTTACAGATAGCTATTATCGAGAGGTGGTTGATACAAGTCAGTAAACATTATTTTTTTTATGCAGAATAATTTATAAATATTGATATTTCAATTAAATTGATTATAGACGCAGACATCAAGTGTGCAGGAGGTAAAATATATTTAGATGCTAAGATATAATTTTTTTGATATGTTTGTCCAGTTATCAAATGGTTTTGTAATTACTAAAACTTCTAGTTTATATTATCGGTTCGGATTAAGAATGAATGAGAGGTGTAAAGCTTTAGTGTTATTAACACAGTGATGCAAATTAATTTATGTAAATTAAATAATTTATATTTATACTCAAAGTAACAATTATGTTTGTAATTTAGTTAATACTACACTTAGCTTTGGTAGTAACTATTTAACACAACAAGGTGTGTAGTGTAAAGTAAAATGTCGATGCTATAAGCACGGTTTACTCTTATTCTGAAGATATTCATATGTTTTATGATTTTATTTGAAACTTTGTTTATAATTCTATTTGAAATACAATTATAACATAATTAAAAAAAAAAACCTTTCCAAAAAAAAAAATAATACACTTGAGGTATTGGTTTTTTTAACTTCTAGGAATATTTGCTAATCCGTAAATATTGAAATTCATTGCTAACAATATTTAAAACAATTAAATTTAATATTCATATTTAATCCTTTATTTCTTAACTACAACTATTTGTAATAATAATTAATTTTGTATACATAACCACAATTATTGTTTAAGTTTATTCATTCTTGTTTATTCTAGACTTTATGTGGGAAGCAATAAGATTCATCATTTCCCTTAATAAATATTCGATGGGTAATCATTATAAGTTTATGTATCTGCTTCAATTCACTCATTTTATTACAGTAGTGTCCCCTTTTTATAATAATTTATATCCAAGCATATGATTTTTTCTATTTGTCTTTCGTCTTCTTATTATATTAGATATTAATAAATAGAAATCATACTTTGGGAAATAATAATACAGTTGTGTTGTGTTCATTTCAGAGGAACTGGCATTTATGTTGGCAGTACCTGGTAAACATTGTGTTAATATTTTACGGAAATATTCCAACATAGCTATTTGATATATTTTATTAAGTATAAAAAATTGTATCATTATAATTTTAGAGCTAGCAGACAGGCACTCACCGAGTAATAAACCATTATATATTCTATATTTATTTGACTTACACAGAGTCTTTTGATTAGATAGATATTTATTTCTATCATAATAAATTATGTATAGTACATTTTATTTGTCTTTCATGTAAGGAAATAAAAATTGCCAGATTGAAGTGCGAGAACATATATTGAGTGCAGTAGGTAAATATTAAATTTTACTTTACTACACGAGAAATTATTTAATTATTTTATCAATATAGAACTCAAAATAATAATCATAAATATTCGATTGGAGTTTAAAATAATAATACAACATGTTTTTGCTGAAAAACTGCATACAACATGGTTCATATCAATTTTGAGCATAAAAAGGGGTTTTAGTTCCGGCTACGAAGTGTCTAAAATGTGTACATTATTTAAAATTAACTGATTTGTCTAAATATTCTTAACTATAAACTGTTGTAGATAAAAAATGAAAAAATAATTTTTATAGTATTTGTATATTAATGTTATAGGTATCAGCGCATGTGTAATGTTTAAAGGTAATCATAATCATACATTCATTTTTTGGAGGTATGGCTTGGTACACTACTAATGTACAAGTTGAACAAAAGGCCAAAAAAACTGTACCTTGCAGTAGGCTGTTGATTTATTATCACTGTTTAACTCTCATGAATGTTATTAGCTGTTGGTTGATTTTTAGGTCAGTAACACGTCTGGTAGGGACATGTCATGATATGCAACTATTTTTAATAAAGCACTTTTAAAATGAAAAATATTTACATTTGTGGGTTGAGATTTTAAAAAATTTAAAGAAAGGAGTGAACGTTTAACCTCTTTTTGCTCCAATAAAATATTTTTCGGGTAAGATTTCTGATCAAAAAAATGTCTACGCGAATAAGTCTGAGAGAAACTAAAAAAATATCTTTGGCTAGACACGAAAAAATTAATCTAAAAACACATTATTGTGAAAACAATGCCTTTTTATTATTTCTCTAAAATACATTTTAATGGAGTGATTACAAATGTATAGTACCATGTCATGTTAAATTTATTAGATTAGGATAAAGGCTCCATATTGTATATTAATGTCAGATTGTAACATTGGTAACATTACATTCCTTTAAAATGTAAATCCAATGCTATCACGAGCAACTATTTAATTATTATTTGTTTTGTTTATTATTTGTTATTAAGACGATTTGGATTGTAACGTTGATCTGTCATTTTATGGAAATAAAAGATGAGAAATGATTTTAAAGGCTATCAAAAAATTAATTCAATCTCAACAAAGTAAGTATTCACAAAAATTTTAATTAGTTCATAACCATTTTATATAGATGTAAGTAGTATGGGGCTCCTTTTTAATTTTTTTCTTCTTAACAAAAACCTAATAATTTTTAACTAGGATTGAAATTTATACACATAGAAAATCTAGGTATAACTAACAAAAACATTTAATAATACACAATTATGATGTTCAGTAGTGTTTGGTAAAATTTGGTAATTATATATATACTTTTTTTTTTTAAGGAGGAGACATACAAGAATTCGAAAATTTTTCAAACACGTGTTGTTTAATAGGATTGTTCAGAAGCGTAAAATTTCCAGATTCATATGTAAGGTATGCTAATGTCGAAATGATGGAAATTGTTCTCTAGAAACTATAAATGGGACGACCACCGTATACAAATCCTTTGGTGGCATAATTTGGCAAATAAACGAAAATAAATCTCCAAAACAGCCAATAGTTGATCAGTTTCAATAATTTGGACCTATTATTTGGATAACTTTTTTTATAGTATTGTTGTTGTTATATTTAAATACATTTTACACACAGCACTCATATCCAAATTATCAATACATTTAGTGTAACCAATTATAAACCATTTTAATCACGATGATAAAAACATATTTTGTTGTTCGTGTATTGTATTTATATTGTTTTTTGATACTTTTTCGCATACAGATAAATAGTTTTATATTTTGTTAAAATACGAATATTTCCATAATTGTGGTAGAACCTCATTAAAGCCTTACAAAAAAATAATTGGCATTTCAGTGTTCTCAGTGGCTTAGAGCAGAGGTTCCCAACCTTTTTTTTTTGAATCACGGGGCACCCTAAGTAAAATTCTAAAAATCTGGAGGCACCCTATGCCACAAAAATATGTATCATTGCTACATATTTTAAATAATTTCAGGGCACCCTGGTTGGGCACCTCTGGCTTAGAGAGCCAAAAGTAGAAAAAAGCCAACTCCTTCATCCTAGAAAATTCCAGTATATTTTACTCTAGTAACACGATTGAATTAACCACTTGGCTTGGTATCTAAGTAGTTTTTGAGTAAACTAGTGAAGGGCGTTAAAAGAATCACCCTGTATAAGAATAAAACTTTTTTTTTGGAAATATTTTCATACATGTCGTACACGACAATTTTGAAAATAAATTAGTAGAAGTTTGTATAGTGTTTGTTTGATATATATTTACACGGTTTACGGTTACAACACAAAAACTACACTTAACTTACCCAAATCAAACATAATAAAAATACACTGTAGCACCAAGCAACGCAAATATCCCAGGCTATTTAAGCGCCTCAGGTACGACTAATAAAAAAAAATCCCGCCACCGTTACATTAGCACATAGTTCATTAACCTCTAGACTCCAAACAACTGAACACACACTGTTGGTAAAATTTTAGAAAATATTGTTCGAATCCGCATTGGTGGCATAGCTCATGAGAATCGCACAGACGAGCACATACACACACCCAATGAGTATACAAACGGACAGAATGGTCGCATCCTCACCCCGAGATTAGAGAAAATGTTTTAAGAAACCGAATCTTCCTTAAAGACGAAGCAAAATTGTTTACCATAATATTGTAACGTAGCACGAATCAACATTTTTCAAAAAGAAAACTAAAAAAATGTCAATAATTTCAAGAGAAAACCTGTTAGGTTAGGTTAGGTTGTTACAGGTTTAGGTTTAATCCAAATTAATTACTAAGATCATATATCATAATGCATTTTTTAAGTATACCTTTTTTTTCCCCTAAGTAATCGCCAACCTGACTGTTTGCACACTACTTTCTCCTGGGCACCATCATTTGTTAGCCATACACTACAATTGAGAATGGAATTAAAATCCCGTTTCCCTATTCGCGAGGCAGGCTAGTAATCTTTACTACTTTTTACAATATATACATAATAAATAATTTATCAGTATACTTAAATGTTGTTCTATTGAATAACATTGTATATGCCTGCGTTCATTTGTGATATAATAATAATTCCTTTATTATGTTATTGTGCAACATAATTAATGTTGGTCTAGTGCAATGACGTTTTGCTATTTATTTACAACAGTGACCACAATGTCCACGTTATCGACCGGAAGCGTTGATAATTATTAAATAACAGTTAAGATTATTGTTGATCTTTAAGAATTTCTCAAGTCTGCAATTTTAAAAACTTCATGCATTGTTGTACAGTATTTATGAATACTTTTAAAAATATGTTACACGGTGATCGCTTCAAAATTCCTAGTCTCAAAAAAAAAAACACTTGCATATGAGTGGAGACAATAACGTTCTGGCTCTGTGAATATTCTAAGGTCATTAGCACGAGTTGATCATTTTTTCGGAACAGGCGTACAATTTTAGGTATTGTGCACATAGATATATTTTTATTTTCTTACAACTGCTGTCTACACGGTGAACAATATTTAACGTAAGACGCTTATTTTCTACGAGAATAGTTGCAATTTTAAAAGTTTTTTCCTCGTGTTTTTTTACGATATTATAGCGTTAATATATGTTTACATATTTTAGTAAAAAATTTTAGATAATGATCGCCTCACATTAAATTGACCACAGTATATGTCATATGTATTATAAAACACATATTGAACTCAAATAAAACGACTTGTGTAAACGATTATAGACTACGTGTATTACAATTATGAGACTGACTATTTTCTGATTTTGGTCAAAAATCTAGTTATAATACATTTTTGAAACACTTCTGGAATTTGTGGTCTACACAAGGTTTCTAAACGTATTTAAAAAAAAAACATTTTTCAGCCTAGTCTGCAACCACGAAAGAGCATTTTCATGTCTCGTTAAAGTACCGAATAAATTTAGATTAGTGGTGGAATTATAGATAATGTACTATAGCATAATTAACAAGCAGTAACATGCTAGTATCTAAGGTGGCTAGTATATTAAAACATAATATCAAGTTTCTGGCTAATATTTTAGTGTTTAATATCTGGCTTTAAAGAATTCATAAAAATATGACCTCTTAAATTCATTTTAGTTCAGTTCTGGTTTGAACGTTGTGAATTTCAACCTAGTATATTATACTTATATTACTTATTTTTAGCTTCAATGCAAAGCTGAGAAGGTATTGATATTGCAATGGTGTGTTTTTAGCATTTCTATATATCCCAAATTGCTGGTTAAACTGTACTGGTTTATACTGTGTTGGATTCTCATTTATATTTGACGGTACATTTTGAATTCCAATATTTCTTACAGCGAAAAAACGAACTGAATAAAATTGAAGGGCACAGGGGAAGAAGAGTAGTATCCATTTATAAAAAAAAAAATTTCAAATAGTTTTTTTCGATATATGCCATTATTTATGTCAATAGATTGTTTAAATCAATACATTTTTTAGTAGAATAGCACTCAGTGTACTTTTTGTTTTGTTTTTATGTTAGAGGGAGAGGAATTCACGAACTTTGTTATACTATAAAATCTTCATACATGAACTACAACCCTTCTTCCCCTGTGCCCAATAATTGTAAATACCGATTTTGGTATTTAATGTCAGAATAACATGAGATAATGTATTTTATTGTTGAGCTCAATTGTGTGTAATGTCATGTAAAATTATAAACTATCGAAATGATAATATTTCTAATTTACAAAAATTTAATAACATTATGAATGTTATTATTTGATTAATTACACAATTAACCGTTTGGTATTCTGAAGCCTGGCAGAGTTTAACTTCTAAACAAATATTATAGTAAATAAATAATTAGCCATAAAGACGTTAAGATGTGCCTTTTGGAGCGAACAATTTGTATCTGGATTCTGAAAATGTATTGAGAAAAGGATTTCCATTACGGAAACGGAAAAAAATAGGCTTGAGTTCCACAAGAGTTTGGTGAGACCGACCATGCTGTATAGGACAATACAACCTAGAACATGCTTGGTAGATATAAGAACTCTTAGACGGAGGAGTTAACATAGTATTAAGTGTGGCTTTAAAAAGCTAATGTTTTTTTTTTTAAATTAAACGTTGTAGAATAAAGGCCAAGAGGAAGGCCAACTGCTGATGTATGCAAAGACAATGTAGGAGATCGTGCCGAGTCGAAGTTTAGACCAAAAATGGCTTACCCTAAGGAATTGGAAAGAAGGCAATAATTGAGAAGAGGAAGACATTATGAAAATGATTGGTAAATAAAATAAAAAGTGTAGTAACAATGTGGAATATTTAAGTTCAATGTCTTTAATGCAAACATTTAGAAGGAAATAGTGTGTCCCCAGCTATGTAAATAAATAAACGTAGACCCCCTTTGGAATATATTTAGAGTTCATTGTTTCGGTGGAGATATTATAAATCAATTGACAAGTCGCGCAAGTAATTCACTTAAAACAGTTCTTTGATAAAGGTGAGCGAATTGATCGATTTCCTAAAAGTTTTCTCATTTTCGTCGTTTAAGCAAGTAATACTATCAAGCTTCAAAAGTTGTAAGTACGCTTTTAATCAGATATGTGCAAGTCTTAAAATTAATGTATTTAAATAGGTATTTAAGATACGACATTTTTTTTCCTTTCTTGTGTCCTAAACCACATTTTGAGTTATTTTATATAGTTTTTATTAGATTTAGTAGTATTTAATAAACATGTTATATTTATTTAAATTAGATTATTATTAAAGACAAATTATTTAAAAATGAATAGTATTAATATTATACCACCTATTTAGTTAAAATTCGGTATAAACAATTTCTCAGCCTAATAAAAAGCTAAAAACTAAGATGTAAAAAAAATAAACATTAGTTAAGTATTTTTAATGCTAGCTTCTTACAAGCCATCACTTTGTCCATTTTTCATCCGTTTTTAATCAGAAGTATTTTTTTATCAACAAATATTACTTCTTAATGATGTATAATAACTAGTAATCTATTTAAAATATATACTCTATACAAACAAAAACATTTTTTGATTAGAATAGAGTTTTTATATATTTTTATTGATATTTCCTAAATACAAAATTATTTAAGAACAGGATTTAAAAAAATTATTTATGATATAGGGTCGCACTAAATATTATTCCTGTCTTATTTTTAAACCAGAAAAACCAAAAATTATAGTTAATAACAATTTCCACTCCTTCTAGAGGAAAAGATTTATAATATTTTCTAGGATTTTTACAGTGTGTTGTATTAATTCACAATTAAAATATTTTATACCATTTATAATAACTCTGAAAAATACATCACTTAACTTTCGAAGTAACTCGACTATTTTTTTAAAAAGTTATAGCTGGCCTTATTTTCTGACATGCTTCATGGATGAATCAATTTAGTTATCTAGTAGTTATAGTGGTCCTATCAATTTTTTACTAAACATAATAACTAGAATAATACAAAGATAATAATATATTTATTGATAATTGATAACAAGCATGTGTGTGCATAGTACATGAATACAACAAAATGATACTAATAAAATAACAAATCTAGTTAAATAATTATAATAAATCATTATTATTTGCAGATAAAAATGAAACTTGTCTGTGTTTTTATATCATTTGTC